ACATCTTCCAAGAGAAAAATAATTATTAATGGAAAAAAATGAGTTTAGAAAAAAAAACAGAAATTAAACTAGCAAACTATGAAATGGGTAATTCAGAAACAAAAACTCAACCCCCTCATAAAAAACAAAACAAAAAGGCACCAATATCAACAGCTGATTTTTTTAAGGACTTTTATATTTTGTGTGTGTAGTGTATCATATACCCTAGAGCTACAGTTACAAGTTGTTGTGAGCTGCCAGATGTGAGTACCAAGGAGCACACTCTGGCATATGGAAGAACAGCTAGGGCAATGAACCTCTGAGTTAATCAAGCCTAAAGTTGATTTTTCAAATCTAAACATAATAGATAAATGCTTACCTATTGTTAAGTCTCAAACCATGGGGAAAATGATTGACTGCCTACTTAACATATCAAAGTGAACCTGGCCACCCAGTTCTCCCACATGTTACAGGGTCCTCCTGGCTTCCATACCCTGCCCCCTACCCTAAACTTCTCCAGGCTTGGCCAACCTTCCCTATATAATCCAACCATTTTGGTCCGTTCTCCACCCCCCCCCCCCACACACCCAAAAACAATAATCTAGATGTGATGCACAGATTTCTACCATAACTCAATCAAGAAAAATTGGAAAACACACCCAATGAAAGATAGAATCTACCATCAAAACCCTCCAATGATTAACTATATGGATTCACTGGTAAAATTTACCACATATTTAAGGAAGACATAAGAGACCCTCTACAAGCTCTTCCAAACAACTGAAGGAGAAGCACCTTTTAATTCATTCCCTGAGACCACTATCACTTTGGCTCAAAGCCAAACAAAGGCATTACAGGAAAAGGAAACTACAGGGAATTGTCGCTGAAGAATTCCATGTATCCTCAACAAAATACTAGCAAATTGGAATGAGCAGCATATAAAGACAACTACAAATGAAGTGTTTATTCCCAGGATGTAATGATGGCTTACTGTATGTAGAGGCATTTGCTGCATTATACAGTATTAGTAGAGAGAAGAACATATACACAATAGGATCTATTGATATACAATAATAATGTGATGAAGTCTTGCTTTCATGATACAAATGGGTACAGACTTCTGTTTGAAATGAGTAATGTTGGGTACAGTAGCACGCATCTATACTCAGTAATTGGATTACATAGGCTGAGCCAGAAGGAATAAAAGTTCCAGGCTAGCCTGAGCTACAGAGTGAGACCCCTATATCAAAGAAGCAAAATCATAAAAAGGAATTGTTAAGGGTATAGATAGCAGTATGGTTGTTAGGGGCACAGAGCTCTTTTTGCCCACAGATCACTAGGGAAAACAGGAATGTTAAACATGTAGGGATGTCTCCTCGATGCAGAAGGTAAATTACCTATATTCCACCCAGAAAGCTGGAAGTGTAGGTTGTTAATGACCTGGTATCCTCACCCAAAATGTTCATCCCAGACTACCTCTCCCTAGGCCTTTTATCTTTAGCTACCAGTTAACAGACCCCCATCTTTAGGGTAGCTGTCACATGTACTTTACAGCCTGCTGATTTCTATGCTATCTTAGAGACCATACCAGATCCTAAGCCTTTTAGGTATAGCTATAGCTATAGAACCCACCTTCATGGGCCCATGTATGTTGTAAAGAGTTTCTAAGGAGCCACACCTTAATCTTTGTTGCCTGGAAACCTGGAATGGGAATGATTGTTGCCTGGAAACTTTTTCCAAAATTCTATTATGATTGATTTTCTATTATTTGATTATACAACAATCTGGCATCAGACTTGCTCAAGTTTGATCCAGGTTGACAAAGTCAATCTGAACTGAGTTTTCATCTCACCTCTTTGAATTTTGCTTCCCTGACTACTGTGACACCTTAAGAGGCCCCCCCTCAAATGATAACATGACATTATAAATGTCACAAACTTGTGTCTTTAAAATGTTGAAATAATAAATCTAGTTATGTATATTTTATCATAAAATGCTTCAAAACTAAAAACAAAAAGACAGAAATCATAGAGATACAATTGTCTTGGATTTCTAAAGATAAAACCAGATGGATAAGTAAGAACAAACTAAAAATTCTAGTAACCGAAACAGAGAAAATAAATGAATAGAACATCAATGAGCTACATAAGAGGTGCAATAGCAAGTAGTAACTGGGCTCCTTGAAAGGGGGTAAGGATAGAAAAAAGATCTGAATGATGTTGCCAAATTTTTCAAACACACACACAGACACACACACACACACACACACACACACACACACACACACAGACCTTTTTATACCAAAGTCCTCCATCACTGTATACCAAAGTCCTCCATCATCAATCTACCTTAAAGCAGAAGAAAAGAAAACTTTAAACAAAGGAGAAAAAAATGAATGCACCTACTACAAAGACATGAGATGCAATCGTAAACATAGTTACAAAAAACAGTATGGGCTAAAGAGATAGTTCAGCAGTTAAGAGCACTTGCTGCTCTTGCACAGGACAAGGGCTGAATTCCCAGCACCCACATGGAAGGTGACAACCATCTGTAACTTCAGGTCTAGGTGATCCAGTGCCCTCTTCTTGTTTCCTCAGTCACAAAATATATACATGCACGCAGGCAAACACTCATATACCTATGTTGTAGGAGTGCACTCTGGCACTCCTAAGACTGACAATAAAGTTTACCTTGAATCAGAAGGTAGAACTAGCTACTAGGGAACCATAATTAGCCATAGAGGTTTTGGGGGACTCAGGATATACAGAGAGAGACAGGAAGTAATAGGGAGGGGCTTAGAAAGATTCCAGGGCCCTTTTGGACTGTGGAAGGAGAGAGAGAAGGGGAGGTTACTGGTCACTTTTCCAATGCTTCTCTGATCAATCAGGTTTTTTTTTTTTTTTTTTTTTTTTTGGTTTTTCGAGACAGGGTTTCTCTGTGTAGTTTTGTGCCTTTCCTGGGACTCACTTGGTAGCCCAGGCTGGCCTCGAACTCACAGAGATCCGCCTGGCTCTGCCTCCCGAGTGCTGGGATTAAAGGCGTGCGCCACCACCGCCCGGCCTCAATCAGGTTTTTATCCCAATAACTGACTCCTGAGTTTTATTAATAATAGAATATAAGTAATCACTTCACATTTAAGTCAAGATTTTATTTAGAAAGAGGATTCTCTAGAGGAATATAGAACTAATAGAATGAAGATATATGTGTGTATAAAGGGAATTTATTAGAGTGGGACTCTAATTACAGACTTACAGGCTGTAATCAATCTGGCTAATCCAACAATAGCTGTCTCCCAAAGGAAAGGCCAAGAATCTGACAGTTAGCTATTCAGTTCACCAGGCTAGATGTCTCAGCTGGTCTCCAGTCTACATTGGAATCCCAGAATTACTGGAAGTAACACTCTTACATGTTCCTGTTAAATAGGCAGTATTTAAGAACACATCACATGGCTGAACATAGTAAACACCTTTAATCCTGGCACTCAGGAACAGGCAGAAGGATCTCTCTGAGTTCAAGGTTAGCCTGGTCTATATAGCAGGTTCCAGGACAGTCAGAGAGGTTAAGAGTCTATAAAAAAAAAAAAAAAAAAAGACACACACATATCACAGTTTGTATTCAACTATCTGAAAACCCAGATGTTATTTATAGCTCAACTGAAAATCTTCAAATAAAGTTTAGAACAAACAACAATGGAGCACTAAGTGGTTCTGCATGCCTTTAATCCTACCTAGCACCAGGAAGGCAAAGGCAAGTGAATCTCTCTGTAAGCCTCATCTTCTCTCAAAACAAACAAGAGTCTGTTGGCAGCACTAATTACAACGATATTAGGTTGAATGTGGATCTGGGAAGAGATAGGTGAGGGGGGTTGAATATGATCAAAAAATAATGTATGAGCTCCTCAAAGAATAAAAATACTTTTGAAAAAAAATTAAAAGCTAGACAAAGCATCACAGAACATTCTGGAGAAGTTTCCACTACTCCACCATCGGGGTAAACCACCTTCTTGGAATCCACTAATGAACTATTTCACTATCTAGAGACTGAGCTTTGTTCCACATTTAGAAAACCCATAAAGTAACACTGCAGAGTACCAAATATCTACTCTCCAAGGCCTTGTCAACAATCTTAACATTCAGAGGCATGAAGGAGCCTAACAGAAACTCATTAAAAAAAAAAAAAAATACGTAAAAAGTGATTTTCCCAGTAGTCGTGAAAGCCTGGAAGTTTTCCCCGTCCTCTTCCCAACCTTTTGCCAGCCAGCCACAGAGTAAAAAGTTTGAGTAGAAAAATGAGTCATACTTCGGAAAGAATTCCCCACTGCAGAGCACACATACTCTACACAAATGCAGAAAACCTGTTATCCTGAGAAAAAGCCCCATACCAAATACGGCATTAACTTTTCTAAGTTCACCCCAAACCTTCTAACACTGAAGTCAAAGCTATTCTCACTGGTTTGCGAGGCTGTGGCTCCCACTTTATCTTTATGCCAGGCCTTACACAGGAAGTAATTGCACAAAGGGCAGAGAGCATGGCCATCTTTTTCTCCACGCCCTGCCACAGAGCGGGCTGAAGACACAATCCTGTTCTTTACTGGACCTACGACAGACAGATTTCCAAAGGTTCTGGCCAGGAACACTGAGACAAGAGACTGCTGAAACTGGGTACGGATGGAGACAGCGTCTTTCTTCTAAGGAAGGGGTCTTTGGGAGTTCTTTTTAATTCCGGCCTGGAAATCTTTCAGAAGGGATCCTCGGGGACAGGAAGAGACGGCAGGGTTTCCAAGGACAGGAGGAGACAGAGTGCAGGGACAGCAAACGGAGCTGCAGGGGAGTATCCGGATCATAGTGTCCCCGCGCCAAAGACGCTGTCGCCTCCGTCTGTCCTGTGGCCACACAAGGGGACCACACAAAGCGTAGTCGCAAACCGAGCTCGCTTCCCCACCCCCACGACCTGGAACTAAGCTGTCGCCTTCGTCAGTCAGTCCCTCGCAGGGTCAGTGCCCTGGCCTCCCTGCTCCTCACCGAGAGTGCACGCAGCCTCCTCCATTCGTCAACGCCTACGCTGCCCGCTCCGGAACACCACAGCAGACACTGCTAAGAGACAGGCGCGGGGCGGAGCCCAGGAGAGCAATGAAAACTCGGGAGTGGGAGGACCTTCCGGAGCCTGAGTTTTAGCACTGGTTCCCCATCTCAGGCCCAGGCGGGTTTCAAGTCTCCAACATTGGACTAAAGGCTCCGTCAGCTGCTAGGGGGGGCCCAGGAGGTGGGAGGAGAAACGCGGAAGCTTGGCCAGTGCTAATCTAAGTCCCGCGTGAGTGCATGCCACCCTCCTTACTCTGTTGTACATCTTGGTTGACCTTAAATCCTCATAAACCTGCTTCAACCTTCCAAGTGATTACAGACCTGTCACCCTGCCTGGCTTAGGTGGGGTGAAAATAAAGGTGGCTTCATTTTCAACTTTAATGAATCACTAGAATGGAGGGATAAGAAGAGCAGTTATACATAACTATAGTGTTAAACCATTTATCTCTGTGAACCTCTTTCCCCATCTTTAAAATAAGGACAGAATTCTACCCCAATCCTTTGATGTGGTTATAACAGACTCAATAATAAAGAAAAACAATATTGTTTATAGTGGGAAAATGTGGAGTTTAAGGAATGAGGGCTGTATTTGATGGCAGCTACCTTCTGTCACTGGAATTAGGACCAGAGCCTGTGTCCTGACTACCCTAATGAAACAGCCTCTGCCGCTCATCCTCCCACAAAACAAGAATTAAATTAATAGTGAAAAGCAGCCAGGCATGGTGGCACATGCCTTACCTAAATCCCAGCACCCAGTTGGCAGAGGCAGGTGGATGTCTGAGATTTTGAAGCCTGTCTAGTCTACATAGCAAGTTCTAGGACAGCCAGAGCTACAGAATAGAGACACCTTGAGAAAGAAAAATAAAGTGTGAGAAAGGAAAGAAAGGTGGAGGGAGGGGAGGAGAGGGGAGGAGAAAACAGAACAAGATTTATTCAATCTGGTTTACACTAGGAAGTAGGATGACTGCTCCCTAGTCCATCTTCAGGTCCTACTGGCAGGATAAAGTAGAAGGCCAGCAATAAGCTTAACTAAGCAGTCCAGCCAAGGTTGAGGTGTAGTCCACCCTCCTCCCTACTCTCAGTGCCTGTCTTGACAGTATGGTAGAACGTCAGACTTAATGTTTCTCGCATAGACAAGTTCCTCCTCTGGTTATCTATCCTCAGCCTTTTCTTCCAGGATGAGATTCCTGGAAAAATTCTGATTTGTTTCAATAGTCTGTTGGCCAAAGAGAGAGACATCCATGTCTCTTCATAGTATCATTCCTGCCAGGCAGGCTGAGTTACATAGACAATGGGGTGGCATGGAGATCTAAGAGGGGATGGAAGAATTCAGGACCACACCTTTCTGTCTGTAACAGCTAGACATTCTAATCCCATCCAAGGCACCCCAGGAAACAACCCATGATCCCAATTACTAAAATGGAGAGAAAAGGAGTCCTTTATGAACTGTTGGAGATGTAACTTCAGAAGTCACAAAAGTTGTAACAATTAAGTGTGGCTCCCCCTTGACAAGCCTACACTTTTCCTGAAGTGCCTTTCTTGCTAATATCTATGCTTAAATCTATGTTTAAATCTCTGTGGTCGTATTTGCTCCATCCATAACCTTGGGCTATATGGCCCAAAGGAGGTGGTGCTTCCTGCCTTGTAGTGACCTCTTTCTTATAAGGAGTTGGAGAAGGGTCACACGCCCCTTCTCCCTGTTCCTGCCTATGAGGTGGATTCGCTCCTGGTCAGATCAGAGGATGACTTCTGCTGTCTACTCCATTCTGTAATCGTGAGCTTATTTCCTCAATTTATACCTTAATAAACTCTGTTACCCATTTAATAGACTCACGTGGGTTGACTGTAATAAATCTCTTAATAAACTCCAGGGCTGAAAAGATGGCTTATAGTGGGTAAAAGTGCTTGCCCTGCAACTGAGGACCTGAGTTCACATCCCCAGAACACAGGTGAAGCCAAATACAACTGTGCATGTTTGTAATCCCAGTGTACCTATGACAAGATAGGAGGTAGAGACATCCTTAGATAATTATAGGTATGGAATGGCAAACAAGAGACCCTGCCTCAAACTCAGTGGAAGGTAAAGTTGTCCTCTAAGCTTCACATGGATGCCAAGGTGAACGCGTGGGCGTACACACACACACACACACACACACACACACACACACACACACAAATAATAAAAACCCAGGTTTGCTCTGTATTCATAAAGTTCTTTATGACAATGCAGTCAAGAATCCCAGCTTCACTCAAGTGGAGATCCCTGAAAAGAACTGTATTATACAGAAAGCAGCATAAAGCTGCATCTCTCTCACTTCCTCTAACACAATTGCTCTTTCTGTTTGACCATCCTAATGCCTTACTAATTAGGTAGGAAGGTACCATTTAAACTGGATTGTGGTAAAGCATGCTGGCAATCCAGCACTCAGGACGTAGAAGTAGGAAGACCACTGTGGGTATGAGGAAAGCCTGGGCTACATAGTGAGACACTGTCCTACCAAATAAGTAATTCATTTAAAATTAATTTTTAAACAATTAATTAAAATCAAATAACAGAGGAAGAGGAGTACTGGAGAGTTAGGGCAATACCTCCTAAAGCCATTTCAGGTGTCAGTCACTGATTCCTTTATCATCATTTTCAAAAGGTAATTTTCTTTTAGGGTGGGTACTCCTACTTCAATTAATCCAGTCTAAAGAATCCCTTGCACACATGCCCAGAGGGATTTGTTTCCATAGCTATTCTAAATGTCACAAAGATTACAATGGAGACTAACTATCACATTAACTATCTATTAACAATACCTTAACCCAACCCTATAACTCCTTAATTCCTAACCCTAATACAACTAAAATCTAAACCTAACCTTTCCATTGCTCTGGTCCAAAAACCTAGAGGAAACCTAAACTAAATGAAAATCTCTAGAAATAAACAATGCAGAAAGAAAATTTTATGTGGGAGATCTCTACAATGCACCATCAGTTCCTGGTGTATTCATATTCATTCTCTCTCTCTCTTTCTCTTTCTCTCTCTCTCTCTCTCTCTCTCTCTCTCTCTCGTCAAAAATAATACACTAATGGATTTATGGAAATATTTATTGATGTGGTTTAAAGTGATACAGGCTATCTTGGAATGAAAACAATGTGACAATGTCTCCATAGCAGCCAGACTATGTGCCTGTATCTCCTCACCTTAATCGTACAACGACAGAGAAAGATAGCCAAGAACTGGGTCATGGTTGTAATTCTGTCTGATTTTCATGGACCTACTTAACTTTAGTTAGGCCATACCTGCCAAAGGTTTGAAAAGCCCCTAAAACAGTGCCATAAGCTAGAGACCACCAGATTAATTTGTTTTTTTATTTGTGACTCCTTTCGTGTAAGAAATTATAATGCAATCCTAAGTATATAAGTATATGGAGTGCATGTTCAAATGATGCATTTACTGTTAATAAATCAAATAAATATACTTAAAAAATTTGGTGAATATAATATTTTATCATTTATTAACACAAAAGTAAATCTGTATTGATGAAATGGGCATATTTATTTTATATAAAAGATTAAATATTAGCTGAATATTTGATAATGCAGCATATAGAGAATGTTTTTCTGAGTTAATTGATACTTTGGTTTTATAGTTGTCAAATATGGAGAACATCATGTAAATCAGTGGAAAAAGGTAGAAATACAGTTAGAACCATTTCATAAGTTGTTAAAATATTTTTCTTTATTGCAACCCAATAATCACTGAATGATTTTTTTAGTAAAATACAAGTCAGTAACTCAAGCAAATTTTAAAGTCACACTATACTATACAATATAAAGATAAATTTGGTACTTACATGTTGATGAATAACACTAGGAAAATAGAAAAGTCTGTTTTCCAAAACTAAATCAGTATTTCCATAAGAGCACAAAACTCTGAGTATTTAATAAAAGCATTTCAAATTGCAACATTCAGCAGGTCTTGTGTGTGAGCTCAGGTGCTTCAGGGAGCTGTTACTTGGCAGTGTGTGGCATGACATCACATGCAATACACATGTTGCACGAACAGAACAGAACAAAGTGGAGGTACAGTTAAATCACATGATGCAACATGGGTGAATGTTGCCAGAGATATATGAGAATCAATGCACATATAAGTCTGAACTTCTAATCACTGTGTTCAAAACTTTTAAATGTTACCAGTTGTTAAATCTCAGTTATTGCAACCTAGTAAGAAATCATGAGCCACAGACTAAAAATCTGTGTCTAACCACAAGACTTTTTGTGGACAATTTCATATCCAAATCAAAACACACTGTCCCAGCCCCACTGGGCTTATGGCAAACTGATAAAGCAGCTAGTTCTATTTCAAAAGTCTCCAATCGTAAAGAAACTGTAGAAGGAAAGTAAGAGTCCAGAAAAATTAAGTAAAGGGATCAGCAGAAACAATTATACACCTCAATAGATCCCTTATACATTTGAGAGCTTGAACTCAATACCAAAAGATTTCAATTAACATAGAAATGTTCATGATGTTTTACCTGCTTACAGTAAATCAACAGTGAAAAACACCATTCAAGGACACTATCATGTATTTATTTCAGAAAAGTGAGACTTTCTCAAGAACTTCAACAGGTCCCTTACAAAGGACTGCTGAAGAAAGAACGGTCATCAGTTCTACACATTTTACTGTTCCTGAAAACTTTCCATGACAGATGTGAAGGTGCAAGGTAACAGGCTGTCATGACCTGGTTATTCCAGGTTAATAGGTACTGTTACCCAAAGATTTATACATATATACACAGTGTCTCAGTATGTAATCAGTGATAGCTACAAACACCAGCCTCCTGCATCAGTGCTCTAAATGATACCTTTTTTTCACAAACAATTAAAAAAATACAATGCAAAAATTATAGAATAACCATACAAAGAAATAGTTTTAAATAATCATAAAATGGCTACATTTTAAGCAGTGTTATTACAAAAATCAAAAGTTTTTTATAATTATGTGTATAATTTTAAAATTATACACAGTGTAGAAAGTTATAAGCAAATTTATTCTTTAAGAAAACATTAATATACTATCAACTAACTCTACAGTGTTGATAAAGTTTATAGAAGATTAATTTGTCCTATGACTTTATATTCACTTAAAAGTCTCTGATAGAACAAAATCTAGTCCTAGAAACTCTTCATTGGTAAACATTTATTTTTATGCCAAATCGTTTGTTTGATACATATTTACTGGTACCATGCCTAAAATATGCAATAAAGTAACATTCCATAGACTAGAGGAGTCTTGAAGTCATACCATATAGCTTAAGTGTATGGTAGGCTACACTATAAGAATACACTATGATTAGGAAATTGTCTAATAATCTTTATCACCAATTATGTCTGCTGCTAAAAGTACATGTCTACACTTAGAAAACCTTCATCTCAATGTTTTCTTGCAAAAGAAACAGAAATTCATCACCTAGGGACCTTCTCACTTCTCTTGATGGTGGGACTGGGAATCAAACTGGAAGACCAGTGCTAAACACATGAACTACTTACCTATCTCTTTTCCAATTTTTATTGAGATTGGTCTCACTAAGTAGTCTGGACTTACTATCTCCTACTTCAAAACCAAAGTACCCAAGAGTACAGATCTGCATTATCAGGTGCTGCTGGGATCTTCTTCAAACTCAAATCACTGGTAAACACTAGACATTCACAAATTACACAGCTTTTCATTCATGCTACGACACGTTGAGCATGATTTGCTTCAGTGTTCACATAAATTTGTAGATTCTTCTCCCAATTGGAGTTATCACATGATTTTTAATGTGGTTAAAATATGAGCTTTTACTTTTTTTTTTACTTTCCAAACTGCAGCAGTTTCAGCCCAATGCCTGTTTCTGTAGGACTACCTTCATGGCACATTAGCTTATGTATTTGAGTAGATGTTTGAAGAAATGAGTATCATATTCCATTCATTCATGGGGTTTAACACCAGATATTCTGATGTCTTCAAATGGAACTAAAGATCTTAAGACATATCTTAGATTCGTGGAATTTTCTCCAGTGAGTCTTCCCAAGCTTTCCATAGCAAGCAAACAAAACAAACAAATCCTAAAGCCTTCACCATTTGTTTTATATTCATTAGCTCTTTTCCCAGTACTTCCACATATTTGAAGAGAACTAGAAATTCTAAACATTCTTGCATGTTTGCTTGCATACATAGGGTTTTTTCCTTAGGTATGTGTTTTTCCATGTCTTCGAAGGGAGCGGTAACGTGTAAAGGCTTTACCACAGTCTTTGCATTCATAGGGTTTCTCTCCAGTGTGAGATCTTTCATGAATTTGAAGTAAATATGGATAAATGAAGGACTTACTACATTGTTTACATTCATAGCGTTTTCCTCCAGCATGAGCAATTTTATGCCTCTGAAGAGAACTATGACTTATCAAAGCTTTACCACACTGTTTACATTCATAGGGTTTTTCTCCTGTATGAATTTTTTCATGCATTTGAAGGGAACTATGACTTCGGAAGGCTTTATCACACTGCTTACATTCGTAAGGTTTTTCACCAGTGTGAGTTCTTTCGTGCATTTGAAGGAAGCAGGGATAAAGAAAGGCTTTACTACATATATTACATTTATAGAGTTTCTCTCCAGTATGAGACCGCTCATGCATTTGAAGGTAGCATGGATAAATGAAGGACTTACCACACTGTTTACATTCATAGGGTTTCTCTCCAGCATGAATTCTTTCATGTCTTCGAAGGGAACTTTGACTTCTGAAGGCCTTACCACACTGTTTACATTCATAGGGTTTTTCTCCAGTGTGAGTTCTTTCATGTAATTGAAGAGAACTTGAACAACTGAGAATTTTACCACACAGTTTACAGTCATAGAAACCACTATGAGTTTTTTCATGTGTTCGAAAGTAACCAGCACTTTTGAAGGTTTTACCACATTTTTCACATTCATAGGGTTTTTCACCAGTATGGGTTCTTTCATGTGCCTGAAGGAGACTGTGACACCTGAAGGTTTTACCACACTGTGTACAGTCATAATGCTTTTCTCTAGCATGAGCTCTTTCATGTAATTGAAGGGAACTAAGGCTTTTGAATGCTTTACCACATTGTACACATTCATAGGGTTTTTCTCCACTATGTATTCTTTCATGTCTTTGAAGGAAAGAAGGGCAAATAAAGGCTTTACTGCATATCATACACTTATAGGGTTTTTCTGCAGTATGAGACTTCTCATGTTTTTCAAGTAAATACTGATAAATGAAGGACTTACCACATTGTTTACATTCATAGGGTTTTCCTTCAGCATGAGTTTTTTCATGTGCCTGAAGATTACTGAAACGTCTAAAGATTTTGCCACATTGTTTACATTCATAAGATTTTTCTCCAGTATGTGCTCTTTCGTGTACTTGAAGGGAATTGGAAGAACTGAGGGTTTTGCCACATTGTTTACATTCATAGAAACCACTATGAATTTTTTCATGTATTCGAAGATTACTGAGACTTTTGAAGGCTTTATTGCATTGTTTACAAGCATAAGGTTTTTCACAAGTGTGGGTTCTTTCATGTACTCGAAGTAAACTATGATATCTGAAGGCTTTACCACATAGTTTACATTCATGGGGTTTTTCACCAGTGTGAATTATTTCGTGTACTCGAAGACGACTGAGACCTCTGAAGGCTTTACCACACCGCTTACACTCATAAGGTTTTTCTCCAGTATGGGTTCTTTCATGTAGTTGAAGGGAACTTGAGCAACTGAGAGTTTTCCCACACTGTTTACATTCATAGGGTTTTTCTTCAGTGTGAGTCCTTTCATGTACTCGAAGGTAACTGAAACCCCTGAAGGCTTTCCCACATTGTTTACACACATAGGGTTTTTCTCCAGTGTGTGTTCTTTTATGTAACTGTAGGGCACTAGAACAACTGAGAGTTTTACCGCACTGTTTACATTCATAGGGCTTTTCTTCAGTGTGACTTCCTTCATGTATACGAAGGTAACTCAGGCTTCTGAATGCTTTGTCACATTGTTTACATTCATAGGGTTTCTCACCAGTGTGTGTTCTTACATGAACTTGAAGTAAACATGGATAAATGAAGGACTTACCACACTGTTTACATTCATAAGGTTTTTCCCCAACATGAGAAACTTTGTGCCTTTGAAAGGAATTTTGATCTTTAAAGTCTTTACCACACTGTTTACATGCATAGGGTTTTGCTTCACAGTGAGTTCTTTCATGTCTTTGAAGGAAAGAGGAACATAGAAAGGCTTTACTACAGATCTTACATTTATAGGGTTTCTCTCCAGTATGGGATCGTTCATGTAACTGAAGAGAACTCTGACCTTTGAAGGTTTTGCTGCACTGCTTGCATTCATAGGGCTTTTCCCTGGTGTGAGTTCTTTCATGTCTTCGGAGGAAAGAGGGGCATAGAAAGGCTTTACTACAAATATTACATTTATATGGTTTCTCCCCACTGTGAGACCTTGCATGTAATCGAAGGGAACTATGACCTCTGAAAGCTTTACCACATTGCTTACACTTGTAGGGTTTTTCCCCTGTATGAGTTCTTTCATGTCTTTGCAGGAAAGAAGAACAACGAAAGGTTTTACTGCATATGTTACATATGTAGGGTTTCTCTCCAGTATGAGATCTTTCATGGGTTTGAAGTAAATAGGGATAAATGAAGGACTTACCACACTGTTTACATTCATAGGGTTTCTCCCCACCATGAGCTATTTTATGTCTTTGAAGGGAACTATGGCTTCTCAGAGCTTTACCACATTGTTTACATTCATAGGGTTTTTCTCCAGTGTGAGTTCTTTCATGTACTCTAAGATTACTGAGACCTCTAAAGGGCTTAGCACATTGCTTACATTTATAGGGTTTTTCTCCTGTGTGAGTTCTTTTGTGTCTTTTCAGGAAAGAGGAACAAAGAAATGCTTTACTACACATCTTACATTTATAAGGTTTCTCTCCAGTATGATACCTTTCATGCATTTTAAGTAAATAAGGATAAATGAATGACTTACCACATTGTTTACATTCATATGGTTTTTTTGCAGCATGAATTATTTCATGTCTTTGAAGGGAATTGTGACCTTGGAATGCTTTACCACACTGCTTACATTCATATGGTTTTTCCCCAGCATGAATTATTTCATGTCTTTGAAGGGAATTTTGACATCTGAAAGCTTTACCACACTGTGTACAATCAGAATGGTCTTCTCCATTATGAGTTCCACTGTGGAATGGCAGGTAATTGAAAGAACTTAGAGTGGTATCACATGGTTTATATTCAGAACGTTTGTCTTTGATGTGAGTTCCTCCATGAATGCAAAATGAATTGGGACAAATAAAGGCTGTTTTATATTGATTGTACTCATGAGGCTGTTCTCCACTGTGAATTTGCTGATATATTCCACATGAACTTGGAAAACCAAAGGATTTTGAATATACTTCATATTCATAAGTTCCACTCACAGTGTGGGCTCCCATGTATATGTGAATAGTTGTGAGAGAATTGGAGTTATGCTGCTTCTTTCCATATTCCTCAAGCTTATGTGTATATCCAGGGTGAGATATAATGCTCCTATTAAAGGATGAATGATACATGAAAATTTTCCCATATCAATTACATTTACATAGTTCCACTCAAGTAGAAATTTCTGGACTTCTATTGATATTTGATATTTTGGAGGTTTCTCTAAATGGATTATCTTCTTTACTCTCACAGATCAAATCTAGAATTTGACTTGTGTAAACACTGACAGGCATATTACTAGTGGTTACTTCAAAAATGAGTATTTAATCATTAGTAGGTCTTAGATTTCCACTATTCCCTAAATCAGGGAAAGCATGCCTTCTGCAGTATTTAACTGTTCTCAAACTAAATGGATTAGTGATTCTGCAATATGACTCTTAAAGCTATTAGAACAGAAAAGGTCATACATGCACTTTTCTCGTACTGAGTGAATTGTTTTTCAAATCTAAACAGCTTTCTTACATGGAATTACATATCTTTGTGAAATTATTCTAATGGTGAATAATTTAAATTTGTGTTTGCTTTGCTTACTTTATTCATAAATTTTCATAACATATTAAGATTCTCTCAAAAGATATTTTCTTCCACCAATGCATGTAATTTACCTTAGATTTCTCCCAGGATGTTTATAGTGCTCTTCAATGGTCTGGTATTCTGATTTGATTCCTAAAATGCAGACACAGAAAAATTTTTATAAATTATTAGAAACTACAAAAAAAAAAGGATTTGGTCCTTAATTATGTCATCAGCCTTCAACGTCCCAGCCTAAAAAGCGGGTGGGCCCTCTGTGCGCTCTCTGTTCCCTCTCCTTTCTGCTCCTTCCTCCCGTTGCCCCCACCCTCTCTCTTTCTTTCTCTCTATGTCTTTCTCTCTCCCCCCTCCCAATAAAGCTCTAAAAGGTAACCATGGCTATGATTCTTTCAATCAGCACGCTCCTCCGCCGGCATGGCTGCCAAGGGCGGTGACCAGCCACAAGGAGCAGTGCCATGGCATAACCAACACTCATGCCTGTCACATAATTCTTCCCTTTCCACATTCTAAATTATAGAATGAAGGAACACTTGTCTAATTGACAAAGTAAAGGAATGTCAAAATTCTTACCCACAGAAGCAAGGTTACTGCAGGTTTCCAGCATCACATTAATGTATAGGTTCTTCTGAAAAGGATCCAGCAAAGTCCACTCTTCCTGGGTGAAGTTCACAACCACATCCCCAAAGGTCACTGAATCCTAAAATATCCCATATGCATGCATAAGAAAATGGGTGAAACTGACAGTACTATTGATCACTGATAAGATGTTCATGTAATTCTGCAGTCTCTATATGTTTATTCAATGACAGAGAAGTTCTAATGCTAGAAATGACATATTTAGGCAGGAAATGGTGAAGTAGGAACATTCCTCTCATTTCTACATCTAGGGGTTGGAGTGTGCTACTGGGCTACCTCAATTTCTTGTTCTAGAATGGATTATTTAGTACCTGAGATAACAAAGTCCTACTATTGTAGTGCATTCCTGTTGAGCTCCTGGCCTGGTTCCAGAGAAGTAGCACCTAGCCCTAATCCTTCCTTTGTTTAACCACACCTTTTGTTTTGCTTACCTTTTGTTTCTCTTATAGCCCTAGGTGAATCTTGTCTGAGAGTCAAGGATCAGAGAGTCCTCCAAGGATCAAAGGCCTATGTAAAACTTGGTTCAGGAAATCCGGAAGACCATGGTACTTGATAAATCAAGTAATTTGCACTTGGCATTTGGTCTCTGGGAGTTCTTTTTAGGGTGCTTTGAAGGTACAGAAATTAATTGGCTAAACTGTAATGGAAAGAAATAAAAATGCCATAGGCGAAGGGATAGTGCTTCAGTCCTTCAAGGCTGGAACCCCCTGCAGCCATGAGAGGCTATATTCATTCTTAAGATGCCTTTGAGTCTTCATTCCATGGATCTGCATGAACCCACACACCCGTGTCGCAACACACAGTTACATACTATATAATGTACAAAATAGAATACAGTCAAGAGGTTACTTTTTCTTAGCACTTCCTAGGCACAAATAGGAGCTTTACTGATATAAGTAAGTACACCTAAGATTCTAGGAGACATTACAAACAGAAATGGCAATAGTAGTCACTTAGTCTAAATAATTTAGGGAAACATTTAGCATTTTCTGAACCCATGTTGTCTTTCTGAATGTTCAATACACAGCAATAATGAAAGAATCCATCTACACAATACACTTAGGCTAACAAGTTGTCAAAACTTGTTAAATGGGGAACTGTACCTGTGTTGTGACTTCCTCAAGGGAAACATTAAAATCTCAAAAGCAGGTTACACTCAGCTAAATTTAATAAAGCAATAAATTTGAAATAATCAGTAATTATCTCAAAAGAACAATTTTTAAAATTTTCATATAGTCCATGATAATTCCACATATAAATATAGTATGTATTGGTCATATTTACCTGCAACTACCTCTTCCACTCCCTCTGTACCCCTCTTCCCAACACATGCCCCTCCTATCTTCATGTTCTCTTCATTTTTTTGAAGATTTATTTATTTTAATTTTATGTGTATGGATATTTTGACTATGTGTATTTACCACAGAGATCAGAGGAGAGCATCAGATCCCCTGGAACTGGAGTTTTGGACAGCTACCATGTGAGTGCTGGGAACCAAACCTCTGTCCTCTGTAAGACCAAAATTGCTCTTAACCACTGAGCCAGCTCTCTAGCCTTTGTTTTTCTTTTTGTTTTTGTTACCCACTAAGTCCAATTAGTGTTACCTGAATGTATACCAACAACTTACTAGTGGCCATATACAGAAAGAAAAATTAATCCTTTCCTCTAGCAGCCAGCAATTGACAATAGTTCCTCAGAGAGCTGAGCCTCATTGGTCAAAGATTTCATGCTAAAATTATTGACTGGCTTGATCTTATGTAGGTATTATATAAATAACCATAGATGCTATGAGTTCATGAGTCCGTGTCATACCTAGAAGATAGCATTCCACAGCTCTCCTCCACACACTCCGGCTCCTACATTCTTTATAACCCTTCTTTGGTCATGTTCCCTGAGTTGCACTAATAGAGAGCAACTTTCTAATATCCATTCAGTAAACATCAAAGGAAATAGAACAATCAGATGGTGCATGTTTTTACAAGAACTCAAAGTAGTTGGGTATGTTACATGCTGTAGTTCCAGGTACTGGAGAACCTGGGATGTAGGATCACTTGATCCAGGAGCTCAAAGCTTGCCTGTAAAGATCCCTATCTCAGGAGGGAGAAAGAAGAGAAACATGAAGACAGTGTCACTAAAATGCCAGCTCTTCTAAATTATAACTTTATAAAAATCTTAACTCAGATTCTTAGTAGTCACCAAAATCTATGTTTCCAAACAAGTGTCTAGCAATTGTCAAAATCTTCTGAACAATAGTATGATGACTTGTCTAACAAAGATGAAAGATATTTCAAACACATTGCAGACACAAAGAGCCAAAAGTAAAATCAAATTCTCAGAATTTATCAGGCCACCAATTGGAAACTAACATTTAGTAACTCAATATACAAAAGGAAAGTCTGAAGAAAAACAACTTACGCTGTAAATTTTACTACTCAACAAGACGTCATGTTATTGACTACACATCTGCCTATATGCACACTCTACAAGCAAAGACCAAGTCACTTCCCCCTTGACATTTTTCTTTTTCTTGAGACAGGGTCTCTATATATAGCCCTAGAACTCTCTATGTAGCCCAGGTTGGTCTTGAACTCACAGAGATCCTCTTGCCTCTACCTTCCTTTTGACTCTTATCAAAAAACTCCACTTCTTTTCATTGGTGTGTTCATCTCTGAGAACACACCTGCTGCTTCCATGAAGTATTTCAATAAATTCATTGTCTCTTTATGTCTTGGTAAATTATCTTTATTGTCTGTGTTATCATTCCATACACTTACATAGTAGTATGATGGCTTATCTTGGGACTCTTTTTGTTACTGTTCCATTGCCATGGAGAGATACCATGACCAAAGTAACTCTTCTAAAAGAAAGCATTTAATTGGGCCTTGTTTAGAGTTTGAGAGGATGAGTCTATTATCATCATGGCAAGAAGCATGGTGACAGGTAGAGAGAACAGTAGCTGAAAACTTTACATCCTAATCTTCAGGCAGCAGTCAGGGAGAGATGGTCCTGGTGTGGCCTTCTGAAACCTCAAAGCCCACCTCCAGTGATACACTTCCTCCAATAAGGCCACACTTTCTAATCCTTCTAACCTTTCTCAAATAGTTCCACTCCTTGGTAACTAAACATTTAAATATATGAGCCCATGGGGCCCTTCTCATTCCAACTATCACAAGAACTCTCTTCTTGCCTCCCTTGCCTTCTCAATTCCACTGATGGTACCTGGCTGAGATGGCTCTCCAACAAGACCTAAAGGTTTTAGGAGCATGATTCCAGTCCACTGTCTCCCATCAAGGCACATACAAACTAAAGCATTTTGTTTGACTTCCTATAGAAAACCTTCCTTATACAGACACTGACAAAAGCAACTCTCTGATGGGAACTTAAGATGAAGAAAAAAGGAGGACAGCCTTTACCCACATATATTCTCCTTCACATACTCATTCAAGAGCTTCACATAGGGAACTCAGGAAGCAAGTAAAAGTCACATCCTCTTCCTTAGAAAATATTCTTCTCCTAAATGAGGTAATCAGTGAGGACTCTGGAATCATCTGCATATGTGGCTCATTTCTCTTGTCTGATCTGTCCTTCAGCACAGCAATTTCTTCCAAATTAAAATCTTTCATCCTGGAGGGAGATGCCTTAAGTCTCAGGAGTTAAAAAGAAGTTCCATAAATGTACCAGATTCATAACTACTGGTGTACTCCTGAGAATTAAGTAGTTGTTGCTGAGACATAGTGGCCTAATACTTTGTCTTACATGTATGTATTTACATACCACCTCCTCTGAGTTCCGAAGAGGAGGCAGATATAATCTAAGAGCTGTAGGAAGGCATAGAGTATTTTATAGCAATTTCTACCAAGTTGACAGATTCCATGCTGAAGGGAGGTTCAAGACTCAGGAAGTGCTAACTTTCATAATGCTGGAAGGTTCTATGCAGACCACAGTGGGAGAAAATACATCAACAGTATCTCTCCAGCCAGTCCTGCATGCTACAATATCTACCTGCCAGGCAAGATGTGCTCACTGGTACAATAGTGACATAAAGGTTACGGAGTAACCAACTGCTTTTGAACTAGATTTGTGGCCTGTCCTATGGAAATTCAGATGCAAATATAAACCTGGTTAAACGCTCTTGGCTCAGAAGGTTACAAGCCCTCGGAAGGAAGCTATTATTGTTGTTCATGCCTATGCCTATAAATTAATTCTGCCTCTAACCTTGACCAGAGAAGCTTCTCTCAGTAGTAGTCAGCAGTTAAGCAAAAACTCATAACTTTTCAAAGTGTCTAAGCCTAAATAGGATATCTATATCAACTTCCCCAAAGCACAGGGAACATCACAGAAGTATGAAAAGAATAAGGGGCTGGAGGTGTTGGGAAGAGTACTCTTTAATGACGTCTTTGAAACATGACGTGACCACCATACCCATATATTCACTGCAGCTATGAGTACCTGCACAAGATCAACTCAGCATCCCAGCAGACAACACTAATTGGACTCAGTAAGTTATTGATCAAAAAAAAAAAAAAGAGGACACAAAGGGGAAAGGGTGACATGTTGATGGTTCCTGGGGGGAATCTGGGATTCCTGGAGGGAGAGAGGGAGGTGCATATAATCAAAATGCATTGTCTACATTCATGAATTTGTGAAAGAATAAATAAAAGATATTCCATTTAAAAAACAGAAAATCAGAAAAATTTCAATTTAAACATTCCATTCTAGAAGGAGGCTCATTAAGACTCAGGAAGTAAGCAATGCACAAGACTCTGAAACTCACCTTTTGATCACCAGTTCACTGGACATAAGCCATAAGGTCATTAATAACTGAGAGGCTTGAGATCCAGAAAATCCAAACCACAAGATGAAAGGGATGAATGATAGGGTTCACACACATCTCCAACAATTTCACATTTCCCACAAATCATAGGAAATCTATGAGTTCCATCTACAGGATGAAGAGATGGCCAGTGGTTAAGAGCACTGGCTGCTCTCTCTTCCAGGGGACCAGGGTTCAATCTCCAGCACCCACATGGCAGCTCACAACTGTCTTTAACTCAGTTCCAG